GATTCGAATCAAACGAGTGTGTTATTTATTATAAAGTTTAAGTGCTACCCAATTGTGGCCCGAAGGCCAGTGTCGTTGGAGATAAAATGTGATTTTCATACCCAATTTCTTGTATACAATTTACTACCAAAAAAAAGGAAATAAGAGAAGCAAAAGGAAGCAGCCATGGCTTGACTTTTTACGCCCGTCTGACCTAATGTCATTTTAATTTCTCTGCATGTAGGAGTATTCACGCCCGAGGCGCCACCAGATAACCCCATCCCGGGTCAAAAGTGTCACTGGCATTGTGGGTAGTCGGCTGACAGTTGAAAAATGAAATGCCAGACCGACCGGCCATGATGTGGCCACAAAAAGTGACTTCATGTGGGGCTTCCAGGCTCGTTCTTTGGGGAATGCGGGCTTCACAGAATTTATGTATGTATGTTCCGAAATTAAGAAGGGGCCATGGGTGGCCATGGGGCCTTCCAAGGGATCCAGGCCATTAGCACAAGCCAGAAGCATTCAACTAGCGCCCCATATGCTTGTCGCATGTTTAAGAGCATTAATTAGAGGGCATAACTTGTCATTTATTGGTTCATAACATTCAGCAAATATTGGCAAGCGCACGCACAGCGCTTCCCAAGCTGCGTGCATGCCACATGCCCCATGCGACACCCCCTCTTGGCTCCACACATGCATAATCGAACAGTTCAAATGGTTGTCACACACAAGAGCCGAGCAGGGGCGTAGAGCCGACAGGGTTAGGCCAATGATGCTCAGTCATCGGTTCCGGGGCTACGTTCAAACATTTCTCATTGTTGCGACGGAAATTCAGGAGCCGCAGAGCCATTTGCATGGCTCCACTCCCCAAAGACACCGATCCCTCCCTGCCGCCCACCAGACCGGAGGCTGTTTGGCAGAGAAAAGCCGAAGAAGAAAAGCAAAAATGGAATCATAAATTCCTGCTTCGCTCTCCTGCCACCGCCCCATTCCGTAGGCGACCCACATCAGCACCCGTCGCCCCATTTTATCAATGGCTGCACGTTTTTGTTGCGGTTACCCTTTGAATTGCGGGGCAACTTGGATTCAACTTTCATTGTGGTTGCCTCGATAGATGCTGATGGTGCGTTGAGAGTTGCTTTGATAGATTGTGGATAGATCTATGATGTATGTATGATGAAGTGCTCCCCAGTGGGTAGATAAGCTGTACGTGTGTTTGGGTAACAAATCCATTGAAATTCGATATTCCTCCGCTGAATGTATCAATTTCCTGTGTCAGTTCTGTCAGAGAAAACTATTCTTAAAAGTAATGCATCTCTCTTTCAACAGACTCTACGAATACCACCATGAAAAACACATTTCTAACGATTCCCAATCCCTTTCCCGTTCCCGCTCTTTCTTCAGAGCATTCATGGGTCGCCCATCGATCCCTTATAGGCTTCTTCGAAATTCTTTGATTCTTTGTTGTTTTTCGTGTTGTTTTGAGGCAAATGGCGACGCGTCGTGTCGCTCACTTCGACGCCGTTGCGACGACTTCTCAGAGCCGACTTTTTGTGGCATGGCAGGGCATACTCCTCTCAGAACATAAGAGTGCGACATACAGCACGCCACACAGCAATTACACGGCATAAGTGCGGGGCGCGTGTGGGCGTGGCAGATTGACGATGAACGAGGGACGGACGCGCCCATTTAGCACTCGACTGGTTTCGATTGCTTTAAAGCGTTTCTGCCGCTTTTCTGCCCTTTTTTTCTGCCCTTTTCGCAGCCCTTCGGGTTTCTTGTCGGCTGATTGACAATTGTTGTCTTTTCCTTCGTATTGATGCTGTCGTTGTTTTTTGGCCATAATTTACACGCATGGCTAAACAAATACACAACAATCCAGCCGAGCAGTCTATGAGGTTTGGCTTAATATCGGAGGCTCCTGCTGCTCATTATTGGCGGATGATGGGACAAACATCCGCGTGTGTATCCATTATAAGGCCCATATTACGGGCCTCTCTGGCTGGGCTATTTATTTACTGAATAAATGGCATACTCGTGTGTACTTGATCCACATATTTAGAGAGTGTGGCATCCATTTCAGGACAGGTTGAGCGACCATTGATATTTATTCAATCCCTAATCAGGACAGGTCACAGAAGTTTACACAACACTGCGGTGGAACAACACATTATTTTATGGACAATTTCCAGAGTATAGGCGTTGTATATGAATTGTTAAGTTCATGTTACAGTATCTCATATACATATGTGGTAGTAGTGATATTATGAAGTACGTTTAAGGGTCTATCGTATATCATATCAAATTAAATCATATTAAATTTTGGGGTTCTAAGAGGGTTTAATTGTCAGTTAAGAATCCAAGAGCAAGGAAAGCGGAATTCTTCGGCTGAGAGCTGTTGCTTAGGAGTACATATGTAAAAACCGAATTTAATTAATTACATTTACTAGCCATCAACTCATTGGTAGCCCCTGACACCCCACGAAATGTGCTCAAAGGGAATTGTTTGGCGATTTTTGCCTCGGAGCGTGCAAATTTATGGCCTCTCAACGAATACGGCTAATGGCTGTATTAGCGACGCCAAAGAGTTGGCTCCACTTAGCGCAGTTATTTAATTAAAGCCTTGGCGCCCAGCGCCCGTAACCCCCCGCACGCACCCCACCGGCATCACTCCCCTCGCCCTGCCACATTTGTTGTGTGTCTTTGGGCCATAAATAAATTAAACGTGACATCTGACCGCCATTTGTCTTGGGAGCCCGTGCTATGGTAAATACTTGTATCCCCTATATAATATATACACAGTTGGAGTGTCCTCTTCAGCTCCTCAGCACCGCTGATTCCTTCTTTTGTATGCGGCTCATTGTCCTAACATAATTAACAGAGTTGCCCCTGCAGATGGACATGGGCGTGGCCTTGGCTGGCAGCCCCGTCCTGTGACCTTGGCCATAGCTCTGATTGATGGCTTAAGTGTTATTTGAGTGTCTGCTGATTTTTTGTTTTCCCAAATTTTCTTCCAGTCTGTTTTTGCTGGTGTCCTGGTCCCCGATTTAATTATATCACATGTGAGTGTGGCAATGGCGTAGAAACTGGGGGATGTGTGTTGTTAATGACATTGCTTTGGCCAGAGGAGTAGTTCAACTGAGATTGATTAGAGTCGAATGAGCCAGCAGTAAAAAGCAAAGAGATCACCAGCCGCCATCCAAGATGATAAATATTCGTATTATTTCCCAATTATTCAGTCCAAAAACGGACTTAAAGCTGCTCTAAAATACCTTAATTACTTGGTCATAGCTGTTGTCACAACTCAAATAAATATGTATTTGTGTGTGGGTGTGTTAAAGATGGCTATAAAGTGACATATATTTGAGGAAATTTATGCTTTTGAGTTTCAGTTTCAGCAGAGATCAAATTTCTCTCTTCCCAAACCTATCAATTAGACAACTTCATTAAACCAATGTAGAACCTAGAGTTGATGTGAAAGAGCCACTTGGATTGATTGTAATTTCACAGACGAGGAACAATCACATTACGCATACGACCTGTTGAACAGACGCCACACATGCAAGGCCTGACGCAGAAAATTTAATCAACTCGAGCTGAGATTCAGAGGTAAAGGCTAAGAGTGGCAGTGGAAGTGGCAGTGGGTCTGAGGTTGGTACTTGCTCTGAGCTTGAGGCTGGCACCAGGTACTGTATCTGATGCTGGGACATACAGGGAGGGAGCTGTATCCTTTCTGAGACTGGGACAGAGTCTGTTGCCCAGGCTACGTTCCAATTAGTCGAGCCTAGAAAATATTCCAGGCATTTTCATAAACTACTCAAAAGCCAAAAGCCAAACGAAAGCAAATACCACACCGAACGCCAGGTAAAGCCAAGTCAAGTTGGGGCCTTGACACGATGCGTATGCGTAATGAGTTTTTTTCACCCCCCCCCTTCCCAGAAAAGGGAGCATTTCCCTGTGACAGGTGTCTAACAATCGTAATGTGTGTGAGCGTGTGTCTCAGTCTCGTGGCATGTGTGTGGCATTTGGCTAAATGAAAATTCGCACTGTACGATTAAATTAACTCGACAAGCTTATAAAAATCGTGCCAACGAGTTGCCAACGACAATGCAGCCAGGCAAATCTCATCATGTAAATTAAATTTGGCAAACGCTTCTCGACACTTGCACAAAAATGTGCGAAATTGAATTAACTATGCATGCAAAAACAAAAGCCGAGCCCCGAGCAGCTTTGAACAGGACAGGGCATACCGTTACCAAGCAGTAGGGTACGGATACGGACCGGAGTGGAGCGTAACACGTAGCCAAAAAGTTGGACAGGGGGTGCACCGAGAAACGGGGCATATGCTAAAACACAACGTCCCTGGGGGTGTTCCGTGCTGCGGATTCGCCTGTGAGGGGATCAAGGGATTGCCCGGGAAATTGTTATGCGGTCGAAAGAGTTACTGCGGGAAGTGGTTAAGTTAGCGCTTTTGACTAACTCCAATTGGGATTTGTCAAAGGGCTAACATACTCGGACTTATGTAAAGTGCTATGGTGGTTCAGTGGTTCAGGATTATCCCTGAGAATGATTGGTCAACTTTTCAATCAATAAGTAATGCCATTTTTGGAATAGTAATAGTTCTACGAGCTACCAGAATCTTAAGACTATTTAATCATAGTAAATCCACATCAATATACGTCAAATTAATACTCATCTGTACGGAATTTATATATGCTTATTAAAAGCATAAAGGAGTAACAAGTTCATTGAAAATATCTCTGCTGTTTATGTAAATCAAAGCAAAGTATCGCTAATTAGATAGAATACGTAACTTAGCTTAAGCTTAACGTCAATGTTCAAGGTTCGCTTTTTATAATCCCCAAAAACAAATATGTGGCATTTTCAGCCAAAACTTTGGTGAATTTTAGGAGAAATTTTGCGCGGAGAAATCTCGGGAGTGGGTGGGGAGGCATATCAGACCCCGACCCCAACCCCAACCCAGACACGACACCGACAAAGTAAAAGAAGTTTACACTTACGCGCACGCATGCCACGAAAGCTGACAGCTGCCAGAAATGCCAGCAGAATACTGGCTGTGCCCGCCTTCCCGGGCTTCCCGGCGACTCCGACTAGGGAACAGACTCCTCGGCCCAGTGCGCCTCCTCCGGCTCCTAGTCCCGGCCTGCCTTGGCGCGCACTCCGACAGGGCATTTTATTGGGTGCGCGGCGACGAAGGATTTCTGTCGGATGTCGCACCTTGGCGGGGCTCCTGCTCCTCCGTGCCGGGATTGAGTTCGGTGTTTGGTTCGGGGTTTGGTTTGGTTGGGGTTTTATTGTGTTATTTTTCGGTGCTATATTTATTTCTCAGCGAGCTAGTTAATCCAAGTTTCGCCAGCTCAAGTAGCATGTCATTTGGCACGGTTCCCCCGTGCTTCTGTTGCTGTTTGTTTCGTGCTCTGGTTACTGTGCTCAGGATTCTGGATTCTCTGTTCTCAGTTCTCTCGTCTGTTATTTAATTATTTGCATTGCTTTTATGAAGTCTTCTTGGTTGGATTTGCATACCGCACCCCGGGGTGGGGACAAAGTCAGTACGTGACTGTCTCTCTACTGACGGTACTTTTTTTTGTTGATATTTCTTTGGAGTACATAGAACCGCAGGCAGGCCGAAAACGTATGTTTTAACTTATTTCGTGCTTTATTTGGCAAAGTCAACCGCAGCCGCCAGCCGAGAGAAAGGCAAAAATACATATAACTTTCCCTTTGGGTCCGAGCAAACAGAGCAGCAGCCACCAGGAGGCAAGCCAGGCGACCAGGAGTCCACCGCAGAGGAGTGCCTCGAGCTCCGACTTGGCCTCCGGGCTGCTGCTGTTAGCATTCTATTTATGTGATAAATGGATATTTATCTTCCCCTGCCCCTGGGCATAAGTTTTTGGCTGGCTTGATTATAAGTCAATAAATTAATGAATTGCATTGGCTTTCCCAGACTCTCACTTTGCCCCAGCCTCCGTTAGCTCTACTTCACCTAATGCTCTTGTTTCTGCTTTCGCAGGCGAATCCTTGCTGAGTTTGGGAAATTTTTAATGGCTGCTGAATCGAGGTTTTTTTTTCCTCTTGTCGGTTGGCCTGAAAAACTGTGTCGACTCCTCCAGACTAAAGCCTGATGCATCCTGCAGGATTTATGCGGCTCATAGCCGGCAAATCGAAGTCCAGTCCCCAAACAGCCACGACAACCAAATGCATTATTGCACTCTCTAATATGGGACGATTAGATGGGGTCACGATGGGGCTCTACTCTATGGCTCTGTGGCTCTGTGGCTCTGTGGCTCTATGGCTCTGTGGATGAGTGTGTAATTGGGTGAGCTAACAAACAAATTGATATTTATTTCCATGAACATTTCCTACTACTGACCAAGGACAAGTCCTGGAGTTTTCTGGGAAGTTGGGCGATGGCCTGCCGAAATGAAATACTAATCTAATTTCCAGCTAATTTCTCCATCAATATTAATGAAAATACGAAGACGATAGATTCTTTTTTCTTGGGAATTCCATTTATCTCGTAGCATGATTGACTAACGCTTATCTCTTTGTCCAACTATTTCACTGCAAATGAGCCTTAGATTGATGGTATTTGATCATATATGTACATATATGGTGCATATTTATTCCAGAGAAATCTCTCTTGGGCAGACAACTATGGTTCCAGTGCTGGAATGGACACTAGCTAAAAATAAAAACATATTTTCGTTTATAATTCGATTTCTTGACCAAATTCTGTTTCTTCTACCAAAAACGAAAGCCTATTTAGCGATAAACGAAAAATTCATCCATGGTGAAGAATGGAATATTCCGTGTCATAATGCTCTACGATTTTCGACGTGCTTCGATGAACTCAGTTCAACTTTTGGTGATGAAGCACCATAGATTGCCCCTGCTTTTCCCAGTAAAACGAATTCAGTTGTGTCCTGTTTACGTCCTTCGCTGCAGAACGGATCTCGTGCGGGTCGTCAAAAAACGGTTGTTGCACCGGAAAAAACGCATGCTGTGCGGGATTGGCTATTGCAATATTGTCATATGACAAGCCATGCGATAGAGGCATCTTCGGGCATTGAAGGGACTCAAAACACTCGTTTCAGAGGAGGGGAAAAAGTGCTGTGAAGATTGGTTTTATCGGAGTCAAAGTCTATGATGGAAAATATTTTGAATGACAAATAAAATAATATTCAATGATATATTGTAGGTCCTTCACTATTAGGCTGCAGACTTAAAAGAAAGCCTGCGTATATCCTACATCTACAATTATTTTCAGTGTACTTTTGTCTATGCCTTTTTCCCACTTAATAATTCCTTAATCATCTCTTATGCGCTCTAACATTAATACGACTCTCCCTAGCTGTGAAAATTTACTCTGGATTGTTGTCTTTATATTTTTAGGAAAAAAGATCAAACTTTTTCCATTCAATTACTTCCCACTTCCCCTCCCAGTTAGCCCCCACGTTCCCTTGCCTTCTCTGATTTCGAACTTCCGTCCCGTCAATTAATCAACGATTTATATCGGTTTCAACTGGAGATATAATATTTTTTTTGTCATTTTCTTTGCGTTGTCAGCCGTGAAATCCTTTCTCTTTTGTATTTATTTTAAACTTCTTTTCTTTTCTCCTTTTTGAACTGCTATCCAATATCTTGGCCAAGCTGTGGCACCTGTTTCAACACCTTTATTGATTTGCCAGTATCATTGTCAGCTTTTATTTTTTCCCTTCCTCTCACCTCTCACGGTGTCCCGCTGTGTGTTTTCCTCGCCTGTCTAATGACACCAACAACGAAGGAGGAAACGTGGAAAATTGGCGTCTTTGCACATTAATGAGTTTTAAAATCTATTGCAGAACACGCCCTGCAAACAAGGGAAGAAACAGATGGTGCGGGCATAACATATCCTTTAGGTGGAGCGGAGCTTTGTCTCGAGTGTCGCTAAGCCAAGTCGCACCACCCTCAGCCCCCCCACCCGACTTGTCTGCCTCTAATCAGATTATATTTCCATATATTACATCATATGCTCATCAATATAATCAAATTGAAATACATGTGGGCTAAACAATGGCTCCACCGCCTACGTGGAGCACGTGCCCCCTGTTCGTCCCATATCCTAGCACTAGCACGACCCGCACTCTCACTCTCACTCGCATGGGAGTCACATCTTTCACTTCATTCACATCAGTCAAATCCTCCACGTTTCGTTTCCTTTTTATTCTATATATTTTTTGGTTTATTTTCTCTTTTGTGGATAGACGACGTCGCAATCAGCGTTTGACGGCGTTTGACTTTCGATCTGGCCTGGCTTTCAGTGCTTTCTCTGTGCTTTCTCTTTCTCCGCTTGCCTACGCCTTCGCCGTCGTCTGCCTTGGCTTTTGTATCCGTTCTAATGCGCAGCAATTTAAAATGTGATTTTCCTTGATTTATAAAAGACACATTGCACTCACAATCATGGCTCACATCTGGCAGACTGTTGTCCCCGCCACTGATGGATGATGGAGCAGGCGACGATGCCACCATATATCTACCTCACTTCACTTCACTTCACTTCACTTAATGCTGCAACTAGAATGGGCGTGTCCACGCCCTCATCCTATTCGGCACACATTCCGTAAAACCCGCGTAAACAAAAGGCCCTCGAACGCGCGCGCTGATGAATCTCCGAAGTGCATTTAACATCCGCAAACTCAGCCTTTGCCCAAAACCGTTTCAAACGTTTGCCTTAGCCCGCTCTCGCTTCGGCTCTGTCTTTGAATTCGGATTTGGATTTGGCTCTGACTCTGATTCAGACTCTGGCTTCCTTTGGGTCCCGAGCGACTCCTTTTTTCCCGCTCGACGTCCGACACAGAGCCATGCAAATGAATGAATGAATTGGAAACACACTCGGCACCGACTCTGTGCCAGTGCCAGGATGCCAGGATCCTACCCCTGTCGTGTGGTGTTTCATATCGCAGCATCCTCTGTGGTTCTACATTCCATGTTCCCCATTTACCCCTGCATTCCATGTTCCATGGTCCTTTGATTCGTGTGCTACCCCTGCACTCGCTCGTCGTGTTCCATTTCACTTCGTTTCGTTGCCATGTGTTTCCGTGTTAGGGGTAGAATTTCCTGCCAGCGCATGACTATTCCCAGTGCGCTGTTAAAGGACTCTGTTAACCGCTTTGGCTGAAAAGTCCGTTAAAACCATTATTCTGTGAATGGATATAACGAAGACTGTAAACGATTTATGGCCAGTTATCAGGAACCTAAAGAGAAAAACAGTAAGAATTAAGACCTATCACACAGCCTAAAATAAACTTCAATTCATCGAGACAGGAATTAAAACTAGGATGTATTTGTATTATATTTAACTACATTTTGCAGGCGACTTTCAAAAGAATAATACTTACTTTTCGTACTCTTTAACGCTGTTCATATACATATGTATGTACCTTTTTGTATTCATTATTTGAATAAGCGCATTCACAATGTACACATAAATCATGAAAATACGAATCTGCATCTGTAATATATCATTAAGTCAGAGTCGATTTCTCTTTGGTAAAATAATAATCCCAGAAAAAGTGTAGAAAAATAATTGATTTTATCAAAAGCGAATTGAACTAGTAGCATGTTTATTGGTTTTCCTAGGAATCTATTTTATGTGTGTTTGTTGAGGTGGAAAAAAAAGGTAAAAATATTTACATATTTCTGTGAAAGTGAAAAATGTCGTAAATAAATGTAGTAAAATTCGAATCAAAATAAAATCCGAAATTCAAGGGAACCCAGCTGAACATTTTGCAAGTAACACTTTTAATTGAATATAATATTTATTGAAGCTTCCTTTGTTAACACATTGTTTGCAACTTCAATAAGGCTTATTGAAAATTCGATTTAATTTTATTTTATATTTAATAAATGTTTAAATATTTATATGAACTTCTGTGAGGTCTATCGAAATGCCAGTCAATTCGACTGAGGTGCTTCCCAACGAATCCTAGTGCCATACCAAATGTATCAAAGTCAGTAGAAAGTTGACCCGTATCCCAGATAGAATATACAACAGATCCATAGGTCATATGTATGTCTGTATGTGTGTACACTGTACGATAACTGATGGATTAGCTGGATAGCCTTGGCTCAAATGGCGTCTGCTGATTCCTCATTTCGCAGCTGCTCGGTGGGGTGGTAATCCACCCTGATATCATTTCCTTCTCTTAAATGTAAGCTCAGCTTTCCTTTGAGCAATCTTGCCCACCACTGCCGTTTCCCTTTCTCCTTTTCCCTTTTCTCGTTCTCAGTTCGCTGTTCCGTCCGATTCTTTTGAATATTAAATTCGCATTTATTCCCGCCAGTCCGCAAACACAATTGTATGAGTATTGCCCGGGAAAACAGAACCCACTCACTTTCGCGGCAGCAGTTATTATGTGCTTACCTTGCCTTACCTTGCCCCATGGACGTGGATGGCTGCCTGCCGCACTTCGAGTGCGTGCTGCGAGTGTCGGTAGGCAAAAGGTAATAAGAAACAAGTAACGACCAAATAATTGAGTGCACACGGCACTGCACAAAGGCTCCTCCATCTCCTTCCATAGGGCTGGTGATGGGGTTTTGTGATACAATCCATACCCACCATCCCCCCACCAATCCGCCATTTTTGCATTGTTTTCCCAGAGTTGAGTTGAAAGTGAAATGCATGTTTTATTGGCAGCAGAAACAGAAACAGAAGACCCGAAATTGAGGAAGAAACTTGAAACAACAAAAAGGTTTTCCATACTCTCCCTCTCTCTCTCCTCCAGGGGTTACTTCAATCTATAGAGCAGTCGGCGGTGTGCTTACATAAATTATAGTTCTTTAACTTAACCAACAGAAGGACTATATAGTAAAGAAAGATTGAAGGATGTGTGAAGAAATTATTGCATATTTGTCATATCTCACATGACATGCTAACATCCACCCCATATTCAATGTCTCCCAAATTGGAAGAGCATCAACTACTTGCAACAATCAAGTATTTTACCAAAGCTACTCGCACTATTTCCATACAACAAGGTAGGTACAATGGCTCGATGGCGGCTTAAGAACCCAGAAACAGCAGGAGCCATTAAAAATAAAGCCCTCAAAGAGGTAGCAAATTGAAAAGAGCAAAACAGCAGCTTCAATTGCCATTTGCATGCTATGCATAGTCTCCCTCTGAACAGGTTCGGCTTGATTGTCAGCTTCTTACTCATCCAGCCAGTCAGTGAGTCAGTCAGTCAGTCAGTCACTCTGTACCCTACTCGTATGACTCTCGACGTCATTAAAAACTGTTTAAATAGGAAGAGCTGCGTTTCGCGCTGCGTATACGCAATGTTCTGGGCCATTACCTTTTATGACAGCGTCATGTGGATGGGTTAATCGGTCTGTCCGTCTCTCTGGTTGCCAGGTAAGCTGGGCAAATGGCTCTGACAGTGCAGTGCATTCCCATTTAATTTGCAACAATCGGAGTCGTGCAACTGGCCATAACTTTTGATGTTTCTGCTGAACAAATTTTGTATGCAAATTTAATTAAAACTCCTGACTTCAGTTTATCATATTTGCCGCACTCCAAAGCTCCCAGCAATTTGGCTGAATTTTTATATTTACTTGAGAGTATATGTACAATATATGCCATTGATTGCATGACACAACAAAGGATGCGCTTTTCAATTCCAATTTCTGTGCCCGATCCCAAAGGACTGTACCAGGTCCAGCCCAAGCAATTATCCAAAATAAATGCCTGTGGAAATGGCAAGGTTTTGAGAAATACTCCTTAGTACTCCGGGCTTCTCGGTTATGCAAAGTTGTTGGTAGTCAAGCCATCGTATTCTATGGACAAACCTTTACAGCATGCACTTCAAGTCGTTCTGCATTTCTCGCACTCTCTGAAAGTGCATTCTGCAAACAAACGCCTCTCAAGTGTTGGCAAGAATAATTCTTGGTTTTCTCTTTTTGTCAGGGTCTTGCAGTTGATAAAAAGTTGTACGTCCAAGATACTCGTATATTTGTTGGTTTGTTTGCTTCTTTCTGACTTTGTTTTTATATGCATTTTGGTTTATTTGATTTACTGGCAGGGCACGAGCTCTGATTGAACTTTGTTTCCATTTTTTGGCCAGACAAACGTGCTGAAATATATGTATGTTCGAGTACATGTGTCTGGGAGATACAGTGCGTGTTGAAACTAGAGTCGCAAAGCAGCAAGTCGCACGTTTCCCTTCGGATAGAGTCAATAAAAATCCGAGTATCGTCGAAATGGTGTGATTTGTTGAGTTGAGTGACGAGTTGACCCCCGTAAACTTCTAGATATACTAGAAGCTGTACACCACTGTCCTTTCCGCTTCTAAGATTGAATTATTCCAGGCATGAACCATTTAGGGTCTTATGCTCGGCTTATAATTCCGTCTACCATGTTATATCTACTATCAATTCCCTTCCTCTTTCTAAATTATAAATACTTGTACTAATATTTTGTCTTGTAATTAGTAGGTAGGCTCTTTTAGTAGGGTTAATTCTTTATCTTTCCTGCATGTACCCGTGGCGCATCATGCGGCAGCACCCCTCCGTCGATTGTACGGAAGGACGGCTGCGCTTCCTGGGATGCTATGGTCATTTGATATCAACGTCCAATCATAAAAGACAGATGAGGTTGTGAAATAGTTCTGAGTGCATTAATTATTGGCTTTAGTGTTAGCTTGATTTATTCCATATCTAACCCTAGTCTTACCATCATTTATCTGACGAGTATGTATCTTCTCTCGATTCTTGCAGTTACGTAACGCACTGTCAGTACGAAATATATATGCGGTGGAGACGACACAAAATGTCTGCTTTAAGCAACGTCTTTGCATTTCAAATTTTGGGCATAGAATTTGTTGTTGTATTTCGTGGTTTACGGGCTGCAGCTCGGAATGCCGCGACGCGCGGCAATCAAGTGGTAAAATGAGTAGACAATGGCTCGGAAAAGGGATGCCGGCGACAGGAGTGGAGTAGGAGGAGGTGGCCAGGGACTACTTGGGAGCTGTCGATACAGCTAAGGCTCTTGAAACCGTATCCTGCAGCCAGCATCCTTTCTTGACTCTCCCTCTGTTCGGGTGTTGGGCCTGGTTCTGGTTCTGGCTTTAGTTTTGGTTCTGGTTCTGGTGCTGCGGGCATATAAATTGAATTGTGTGAAAATTTATATTTGTTTTGGCATTTTATGACACACTCCAGTGTTTTGCTGGTGGCCAGATTCCCCTATTTATCCAGCCCTGAACCTCTTGAGGTCCTCCCCCGTTTCTCTCCCGCTTCTGCCGGTGAGTGTATCTGATTTCAAGTGTGCTTCGTTTTCAGGTGGATCCTCACCAGAGTATGGCCCGTAAATTGATTAAAGGTGCTAGCTTGATTTGGAATTTAAAATAGCTTCCCCCTTAGCGCCCCCCCACACTCTCTTTCTCTTCCGCTCACCCTCTGTGTCCCTGATGCCAATCAAATGAGGCGGAAATTGTGGTAAACTCTTAAAGCTGTGGGCCTTTCTGCTGATTGGTTGGGTTTTGTGTCAGGTTTGTTTCAACACAAAAGCCCAGGTCCGTCCGTGCTTGGGATTGCCATAAATTCGGTTGGAGCCACCTCTCTCGCCTCCTGCGGCTTGAAT